CAAAGGCAGGAATTATGGAGGGGGAAGGAGAGGAAGGGGAGGGAGGGGGGAAGGGAAGCCATATGAGTTTATGATGTAAAACAAGGGACTGAATGGCATTGAGAAAGCTATCGCTCAGAAATCTTACTTATGCAAATGTCCGTGCTTATGTGTGCCTGAGTTTTTCGCAGTTTTCATCTAAACCTGCGAACGAGTCCGTTTTTCGTAGCGGAGCCAAGTGAAGCGGGGTTTTAGTAATTGCACAAACTTCGAGTTTAGCATAGAGTTTTCACCAATTTTTTTTAAGTAAAATTAGCCTCAGTAATATTAGTGAGTCACAAAATTACATTTTTTATCGGCCTACCCTAGGACTTTGCGACCCCATGCGACTGGAGAATGACGTCTTTTTGTGCTCCTTCCGGAGTTCTTGTCCTTGCTTCCCTCCTCTTTCCTCCCACATCCCCTCGCACGTCTTTCTGTTTCTTCCGCATGCTAGTGTTAATTGATTTTTTTGCATCCCATACGCTGTACATTCCGCGATTTCAGGATCACAAAAGCGATGAAATGATTGAAAGAAGCGACGAAGACACGCGTTCTCGCTCTCATTCGGAGCAGTCCCGCTCACGCTCACGGTTTCCTATCTTAGCTTTTCTCCTACTTAGATCATAGATCAGTTTTCTTGTAGATTATCTTTCGCCACACTCTTGGCGTACTAGTATCTTGCAGCGAAGTCTCTGATCCCCTTCCTCCGCTTCCATTTTCCCGCCCTTTTCCTCTTGCGAGAATTAAAACGATCATCAAGAAATGTAGGGCCAAAGAACAAGAAAGAGGAAAAAGCAAATGTTTGGGAAAATTCGAGAAGCGATATGGCTCTTGTGATAGAGGAGGCAGGTCAGGCAGAGTGACGGACTCATCATCCGAAGTACTGCGTTTCGTTCAACAGATTTTGTTACCCTCTTTTTTTACTCAATTGTTTGCAGCAGTCGCCGACGTTCATTTTCACGTTCACGTACAAGAAGCCGTTCCAGGTCGGTTATAGCTACTCCCTTTTTTAAATTTTCCCATAGATCTTCTACAGAATGTTGCGTGAGTGATGTCTGCATAACTGAGAATGTTCAGATCGATGCGTCGCTCGCGCTCTCCACGACATCGTCGCAACAGTTATGATGATCGCAGATACACATTTTCGCGCCGCGACGAACCCGAGCCATCTCGATGCCTGGGTGTTTTCGGCCTATCTCTTTACACTACAGAACGTGATCTCAAGGTTGGTTTTTTTTTATCCTTAATAAAATTCTTTGAAAAATTGGAAAATGCTTGGGACATTTCGGTTGGCTGTATTTATAGAGAATGGGTTTTCTTTCGATGTACTTGACAACTTTTCCAATTGCTTTGACCGTCGTTGTATCGCCAAATGGTCAGCCTGTTGGCCATTTTATGCTTCGTTCATCTCCTGGGCCGATTACGAGTGTATATTGCCAGGCTTTATTCGTTTTGCAAATAATCCCTTGTGTATGTGAAGAGCCAGCATTTCATCTCGAACTCTACTATTCCCTGTGTACGATGGGTGCCCTTAACGAAAAGAGAACCTAAGAAATACGGTGGATTTTCAAAACTGGAACTTTCGGAAATTCAGTGACTTCGGAATTGAGACGCAAATTGCTGTAGATAAAGAAAGGGACAGCATTTCACAGTTTTTCACGTTGGCCGGGCACTCATTGCTCCTCGCAGTTGCCTCTGTTTTATCCGGAAAAGCGTTATAAATTAGTTTTTCGAATTTTCCGGCGTTCTAGTAAATTTGTTTTTTTGTTACAGGAGTTGTTTTCGCGCTACGGAGATTTGGACAACGTGCAGTTGGTTTTTGACCATCCAACTGGTCGTTCACGT